TCCTTCCTAGTTGTAAATCAGGAGAGATGAACACATACATACATGAAAGCTTGTGTACAAATATTCCTAGTGTCATTTTCATGGTGCCCCCAGATAGAAACAACTGAAATACCCACTGACTAATGGATGGATATGTGAAAGATGGCATCCATCCTTGGTAAAATTCACAGATAAGAAGGAATAAATTTCTGATACAGACTAAAATAGTTTTTGTCTTTGCTTTGAATTTTTCTCAAAATTTGCATTTATTTATTTATGCATGCTTGTGGTATGTTTGTGTGTGTGTATGCCTGCATGCGTGTGTGTGTGTGTGTGTGTGTATACTTTTTTGCATGGGCACACATGTGCTAAGGAGTGAATGTGGAGGTCAGAGAACAATTTGTGGGGGTGGCTTCTCTCCTCTACTACTTGGGGTGCACTGATGGAACTCAGGTCAAGCTTGGGGTGAGTCCCTTTACTTCCTGAGCAGTCTCACAAGCCCATGTTTGAACTTAAAATATATGATGCTCAGTGAAACAAGCCAATCACAGAAGAGCACACACTATAGGCTTGTCCATCTCTGAAATGTCTCAGCTCAGCACATATACAGATGGAAGCTCCTCGGAGGTTACTGAGGGATAGCAAAGGGAGGGCGTTAACAGAAAATGGGAGAAAATGATAATTATTGGATCTTTTATGGTGATGACAAAAGTATTCAAAACTTGATTGTGGTCATAGTTGCAGAAATCTGTGATCCTCCTAAAAACGTATTAAACCGTGCACTTTAAATGCATGCACTGCGCAGGCTGGGAGTTAGATGTCCCCAGAGCTTCCTTCTACAGCTCAGTTGGCTGACTGCCTCTCCAGCATGCATGAAGCCCTGAGTTCATTCCCCACCACCACACAAAAGTCAGTGTGGTGTTGCATGGCTGTGATAGCCAGGGTTTGGAAAGAGTAGGGTCAGGAGGATCAACGTCCAAGGTCAGGCTCAGTGTGGGACTGGGGTGAGTTCCAGGCTAATGAAGCTACATGATACCCTGTTTGAAAACACAGAGAGAGAGAGAGAAAACACCACTCTGTACACCTGTTCTCTTACACGGTATTTTCAAATGTCATTCTTAGGAAAGTCTCTCTCCAATCTGACTAGGTTCTAGACGCCTCAAGAGATAGGAAGACAGGCTGGATAGATAACCCATTTTCCTGATTCCCCTCATTTATTTAAGGTATACGTGCCATGCTGTCATGTTTGAAGTATTTGTTTTTGTACCATCCTGTCTCCTTTGTCACATATACCAATTCCTTGGTTTTTTTTTTTGTTTTAGTATAAATTTATTTTAAAGTGATACAACCTGCCTTGGTTTATTTATTCAATTTTTTCCTGTATAGATTTTTCAGTTTATGACTGTCATAAAGCAGAATTGGCTAATCTAATCCACACTAATGCTGCATTTTAATCACAGTGTATTCTGCCCTCAGGTATACTTTGTTCTTGCTACAATTTATTGTCTTGGTCCTGTTTCAAATCGTAATGTGTAGATCTGCTGTTGGCCCTGCTGATCGAGGTTACCAAAATTCAAACTGCAGGGAACAAAAACTAAATACTTGTTTGCCAATTTTAGACAAACAGTTAATAAAAATGAGTGTATATCAGGCAAACGGAGAAGCTAAATGAATGGCATTAGAACTATGGCCAAGAATATAAGGCTAGTAAGCCTTCTTATTAGCTGAAACAGATTCTCCACATGCCTCGCAAGTGCTTATCCTTCGTGGAATTCTCTTAAGTGGCTTCTTCTGTTTCTACTCCTCTCTGTCACCCTCAGTCCTTCCCTAAGCCAAAGCCAGCTCAACACAGCCTTCCCAGTTCTTTCATCCCTACCAGCTGTCTCTTCTCTCTGCCATGAACCCTTCTTCCCTCTGTCTCCTCTATATTTGTCAAAACTGTATGTGTTTCTTATTAAGGATAGCCTGTCCTACAGGGAAATTATTTGATAGACTAATTACTCTAGCCTGATGATTAGTCCTCCCCAAGGGAAATCACCTTCAAGCAGAGGGCCCTCAAACTCAGGAATGCCTAACCCCAAAGAGGAATCAACAGCAAGAAAGTTGGATGCATGGAAGCAGGTCTGGGTGGAGCACTGTTCATTGACAGCAGACTGCACCAGTAAACACCAGCTTTGCTGGTGATGTGGCTTTGCAAAGGATCTGAAAACAAATATCTAAATTCTATGACCCTCTATAATTGTTATGCTTGCCAGTATATTTTAAGAGCTCTCTCTCGCATTTGCATAAACCATCCATCCCCCTTTTTAGTGCCAGGCATCTATCTTGCACCTTACCAGTGCTACGCACTTGCTGCACCACTGAGCATGTCTCGGGCCCAGAAACCTCCACTCAGGTCACATCATGAACACCCTGGCAAATTTAAAAAAAAAAAAAAAAAGGTAGGAAAGAGATCCCGGCAGAACTCGTGGGTGGCTTTAACGTAGATGCATCTGAAGTCAAGTTTGGTGTCCTTCTGGAAACAAAAATAAACCTTGTAGTTCAGTGGAAGAAATCCAGCAGCAGTTTCTGCTGTTGTGTTTGCTTTATAGTTTAAATTTTAGGACTAGCCCTGAAGAGATTTGAGTTCTTGTGAGTCACTGACTGCAGAGGGTCAAATAGTTCTGGGGTCTGGGTTGTACGTATTTCTGTGAGGATGGTGTGTGGGATATTTAGCTGCAAAGCAAGCTATGTTTACCTACCTGGAGAGCAATTAAGGGCTGTAGCAATTTCTGCTTTCTCTCCATGTAGATTTTCTGTCAAGATGGCAGTAGAGTACAAAGGTATTACCTTGGAAAAGGTTTCAAGGTATGGTTCAGGAAGTAGAGAATTCTGTGTTTTTGTTCTGAAATTATAGACCTTTCCCAGGCTAGGAGAGAGATTCAGAGGATCTGCTCATACATTTTTCTCTACTTTGAAAATTAGTTTGTACATTGATTTCCAAGATCTGTATGTTTGATGGTCATACGTCAGTGCTTCAAAGCTCTTCTCATGCTTTAAACGTGACCAGTAAATAACAATAAGCGAATTCTTCCACAGCACACCCCTTTACTCTCTGCATGCTATCCATCTTGTTTTTACTGACTTTCATGGTAAAGTCCATGTGATTATTATTTTTTTAAATACAGACAATACCGCATTCCCCATGAGCTTCCCTACCCCCACCCAGTCTACAGAGAGGCAGCTTTCATTTTTTTCTCCTCCTTTTCTTTTCTGTCTTTTTCTTACATGCTGATTTTATTCCAACGCTTAGTCACATCTCTCTGATAAGCACAGTTTGATTTCTAGCTAATTGTAGCAACCGATTTTCATTATTTATGAGTGTCATTGTCAGAATCCATTTGGAAGTCTGACTGAGATAAAGCTGATTCCAACTTCTGATATGACCACAGCAATCAAACAATTAACCACACTAGTTTAAATGAGCTGGGCCTGGAGGGGGCTAATATCTTTACAACCAAATATTTACTGTATTGTGTCTTAGGTTTGATTTATTTTGTAGATGAATCAACATGCCATTTTATCACAAATAATTTATAGTACCCTCTCTTTAAAAATATAATGTAGGTTTCTCATAACAGCAAATTAACTTTAAAATATTCATGTAGATCCATAAGATGTGAATGGGAAAATTAAGACCATGAGTCATATAAATACTTAATATTCATAAAAGATTTGGTAAAGAAGTTATGTTTAAATCAGTCTTTGCCTTCTACTTCTCTTTATATGTATTTGATTCGGGAGGTGCTTACATTTGGGACCCTCTCATACAGGCAGGATGTAAAAATGAAAAAGCCTTATGCAGGTACTCTATAATAAAACATCTTCAAATTCTTCTCATCCATAGTGCCATAAAACACTAAAATTTCAAAAGCAGATACAGGATGGGAGGCATCATTACTGCTAGTGGTCTTTCTGAAGTGTCACCTAATTTAAATGCCTGTGCTTTAAGTGATTGCAATGTCATGAGGTTTATTATGCTCAATTTATTAGTAAAAGGCTTGCAGAGTTCACAGCCATTTATTTTCAGGGAACCTGATTGTCTTGTTAAATTTGAAAAACATATCCCCTCCCATTTTCGTTTGAGAGTGCACTGTACTTGAAAAATTTGGTTTGCTTTGGTCAATACAGATGTTTCCAGGTGTTTCTTGACTTTAAGCATCTAGAAAGTCACCAATAGACAAATAGGATGCTAATTTTCCAGGTTTTACCCTACTGAGTGTTGAGTTGCACACACACACACACACACACTCCATGCATACTCATACATGATGATGTACACATTCATATACACACATATGCACTCATACATGCACACCCATCATATACATTCATGCACATACATACACATAAAGGTGTACCCATATATACACATACACATGTACACCAACATGCACACACACTACACACACATACATGCATGCAAGCATACTACACGCACACACACATACACACACTACTTTCTGAGTTAAGGTGGGCAGACACAATTAAAATGACCAAACTCCTGCTTCTACTTAAGCAGTAACTTCCTCCTGAGGTAAACTTTTTATTTTCCACCAAAAGAAGTGGTGTGTACATGGGGAAAAGAATCCTATAGTTTAGAACCAAAACCAGGACAGATGGCCATTTTTGTTGCTTCACCAGCTGCTAAGCCAAATTCTGCCACCGGAAGCCAGTTCTTCCCTCTGTGTTGCACATTCATGGCCCAGCCATGAAGCCATCTCTGGAGGTGCTTATGGGTTTAAGTTGACAATCATGGTCTGAACGGAAGCCTGCAAGCAGCCCACTGGGCCTCCTCTCTTGCCATAATTACATCCACTTGACCATATGCCACGAAAAGCTGGTACAAACAGGGGTAAGGCCTGAATGAATGAGTGTTTCTTTCAGGGAGGTTTTTCTTTTTTGAAAGAAAAATGAAAAGAAACTAAACCGCAGGATCCATATATACTCACTAGTTGTTATCTCTCTTTCCCCCTAATTAGGACAGAATTTTACCCTAAGGCAGTTAGGAGTGTGTGAATCCGCAACTCGAAGAGGAGTGGCATTCTGTGCGGAAATGGGGCTCCCTCACAGAGGTTACTCCATCAGTGCAGGGTCAGATGCTGATACGGAAAACGAAGCAGTGATGTCCCCTGAGCATGCCATGAGACTTTGGGGCAGGGGGGTCAAATCGGGCCGCAGTTCCTGCCTGTCAAGCCGGTCCAACTCAGCCCTCACCCTGACAGACACGGAGCACGAGAACAGGTCGGACAGTGAGAGCGGTAAGTCGCACTGTTTACTTTTACTATGTTGCCATTTTAGCGCTTCCGTGTTCCAGTTGACTGTGATTCGTGTTTTCCTTCCATGCTTTCTCTCTTTCTTTTCTTTTTGTGTTAATGTAGTAGAGCCCAAGAAAATACTTGTGAATAGTATGGGGATTTTTCCTCTGGGGTGGGGGGCCGGGGACGTGAGAGAGGTGGATCATTATTTGATGTCAAATTATTAAATTCTGCAAACCGTGTTTGGTGCATTAGTTATAATTTTGCAACACAGTTTGTGTACAGGGGGGAAAACAGAAAAGATTAAGTCTGGCTTATATTGGATCAAGTCACCTGTTAGCTTCTGCAGAATAGGAAAACAGTGTTGATAAAGTAAATGTTCCCCGGAGCCAGGTTGCAATCAAAGATGTCTTTGTAGATTCCTCTTGAAGATAACTCAAAAGAAGTTGCAGAATCTGAGAATGGGTGAATGAGCACACAGAATAGTTTATTAACAGGGCTCAAGTGATTGAAGAACAAATTTGATCGTGCTTTAGCTTACTAGCGGATGAGGGCAGTTGAAATCTTGGTAAGGAATGGGATGTGGCCTTTGATGTCCTTGGGAACTGGATTACTGTGCAATTAAATCCACATTAAAAAAATTGAGTTTAAGGATGTCTAAATAGCAGCTTTGCATGGTCCAAAAGATGTCATTATACATTGCTAATACTTTTGTCCTGTTGCCAGTATGGGGTTAAAATATTTAAAAAATGATTTATATGCAGTAATAAATTGAAAAGAAAACTTACATTTTTAGTCAGCACTGCTCCTAAGAAGAATTGGAATATCCGCAGTAACATACAGACAGTAAAAAAAAAAAATCTTTTTTTTTAGTTTTTAATATTAGGAGTATGCCTCTCCCTCAGTCTCTTGTTAACGCGGTCTCTATCTGATGACTCAAACAGCAAAGAGAAAATTAAAACAGAAGAGTTGCATGATATTGGAAAAGAAAGATGATTGTTTATTAATAATCTTTCACCTTTATTATTTATTAGGCAACTTCGTCGGCTTTGTTTTATAACAGGAGAGCAGATCTGTGGTTAGTTTTCAGTTTCAGATAAGACAGAGTGTGACTTACTGCTCCCCACTGCTCGCTCGGTATTTCCTTCCTACTCATGGGGTGGGAAAGTTTCATTAAATCACTAGAAATGATTTATTTGGTATTAAAATATTCTAATGCAGTAAACCAAAGTCAGTATAAACTGCCAACAGTCACCCATTGTCTTCATGTTAGAAGTATAAGTCCTTGGTAGGGCCAGGCCTTATTCTAAACCCCCAGTAGGAAACAAGGGCAGTTCTTTTTCACAAAACAAGCCTTACAACCATGCTGCCAATATTTCTCTCCCTCTGGCCAGTCACCTCAGTACAGTCTGTATTTCCATCAGTTTTTGTAGTGAATTCAGAAGGCATTCTTACAGTCTGTACTTCACATAATACAGTTCATTCTTCACACTATGCTTCTTGAGTTATTACAGATATATAATCAGATACTGCATTTGGCCTCTTGCTTTCATAATTATGCAACAAAATATTACATAAAAGGAGGAGAGAGGGTATGTAGATAACACATTGGGTTCCTATAATCTGCACCATAAACACTCTATATCACTTTTAAATGTCCTGCACTGAGCCAACTTACCTTTTTCACCCCAAATCTTTGTAGTGTAACCTTTCAATATTATATTAGCAAATTATGTATTCATTTTTATTATTATTAATTATGTATCATGACAAATATTCAAATATGGGCCATCACCTCCCACCCCACCCCTCATGCCACCCCCACCCCCCAGAAAACATGAGGGCAAACTTTGTAAACTCTAGTTCTCAGTTTGCAATTTCCTTGAGTACAGACTGTAAGACTGATTGTAAAGACTGGAAAGAAATGGAAGTCTCTCCCACACAGCCTTGGTATTAGTAACTAGAGGAGAATAGGCTTCCTTGGCAGGCTCACAGAAAGAAAATAGAGAAGGTTGTGTCCTTCATTCCAACCATGGCAGTGACGGAACAGTAGCCAGAGCCTCACCTTGAAAGCTCTGGACATTTAGGCAGCATCTGGTGAGAGTGGACAAGTCCACTAATGGTAGAGAAGAAAGCACCAAAGGTGAGATTTTATTACATTGAGCGGTGATGACTTCAACTTGGATTTACTGTTTCCTCAAGATTTGGTTGCAACATTGATGGTCTGAGAACACTCGGTGAGGTCCCTTTGAGGAAAGAAGCAAGAACAAATGAATTGCTGCTATCGATATGAATATAAGCCTTGTCATGTGTCATATATATGTAGCTATAAGAGTGTTTGATTCGTTCGTTCATTCTGAAACTTCAACATTGACTCTGAAGCTGCAAAAGTTCTTTAATTAATTGCATGTTCCTCTGGAAAGCACAGGTTTCTGAGGTTTATAGTAGACCTTGGAGTTGCGGGTTGTGACTTTAAAGAAGGGTAATAACAGATTTTTTTTTTGTCCTGATGTTAAAAAACAAAGCAAAACAAAACTATAGTTTCTTCCCCCACCCCCACCCCCCCACCCCTCTGTGGCTACTTCAAGGTAAGCATTAAAATTTGCACTTATATACAGGTTCTTTCAGTTGTTTTAAATTATTTTATTTCATGTGTATGGCTATTTTGTATGTATGTATGCCTGTGAACCACGTGTGTACCTAGCACCTGTAGAGCACAGAAGAGGGCAGCGGATTCCCCGGAAGTGGAGTTGCAGAAGGTCGTGAGTCACCCTGTGGGTGCTGGGAATCCAACCTGGGTGCTCTGGAAGAGCAGCCAGTGCTCTTAACCATGGAGCTGTCTCTCCTGCCCTGGACAGATCATCTTAATACCTTTATAAGTGATAACCTCAAAACTATATTATTTACTTTCATTTCATTATCCTTAGTCAAATATTTCTAATATGAAATTTCAAAAACAATTTAGTTCTGCTCTCCTTGGATAGTTTAATTTACTCTAACTTTGACAGAGTATTGATCTTCCAGTTACCTTTCATTGATTCCTGAGTTATTCATTATCTATTTCTGTTCTTGAGATGTTAGACAAAATCCTAATTACCTCTCTCTCTCTCTCTCTCTCTCTCTCTCTCTCTCTCTCTCTCTGTGTGTGTGTGTGTGTGTGTGTGTGTGTGTGATAGTCTACAATATAAAGATTAAAACAAGGAAGAGTTAAGTAAAATAGTAAACCAGAACGGCACCAGTGGAGGACCCAGATGGCTGTATTTTCATTGAGTCTGACGTGGGAGTTTGCACTGACTTTTCATCATTGGAAATACTGTGAGTGAGGCTGTCTTCCCAGGAAAGGATGCTGTTCAACATTTGTACAACTATGCAAGCTAAATGCCCGATATTCTAGTATGACGTCAAAGAAAAGTTTAGTTACTAAAGGGGAACAGATTTCATTCATTTGTTGGCCAAGAGGCCAACAGTTCACATTAGGAGGTGCTAGACCCACTGCGGTGCTAATGCAGTTTTGATGGCCTGCAAGAGTAAACGATTGTTGAGACCACGCCACACACCACTGCTGGGAGAGAGCAGAGATTCAAAACAAGTCATAGAGTGCATCCTTTTCCCCCCTAAACTAACCTCTTTTTGTCAGCCATGGAATTGAGTTCCAAAGAGTTTAGAGAGGAGAAAAATTCCATATATGGTACTTCATTTGGGATTGCAAATTCGGGATTTGGGAGAAATCTTCTCTGGACATTACTGGTCTCTGTGGTTATAATCTTTGTTATATGTCAGCCCCTTGCAAACTGACAAACATGCATGACGGTGACTTTTGATCCCCTATTAACAGCCACTTCAGCAAGCAAGCAAGCAAGCCCTCGAAAGGTTACCAAGTAAATACTGTAGGCCCTCGTATCAAAACTAAGAGTACCCATGGGTTTTGCATCATTTTAGGTGGGCTTCTTTCCTTTCTCTGATGTGTGGCTGAAAGACCTACCCCTACCCTGACCTAATTCGCACTATCCAACTTGGCATAGTATCTGCTCTTGGTTCTGAATATCTGTCTAAATGTCCTAACAGAATGTTTTCAAAACATCCATCTTTGTGCCTTTAAGATGTTCTCCTGTGCGTCATTTCCCAGGAATAGCAGTAGGCCCTGCATTTAATCTTTGTCAGCTAGCAGTGTTGGGTCGGGGAAGCTGCCTGAGTGAAGACCTTGGTGGCCAGTGGTCAGATCGTCACATCTGCCCCCCCATTCCTGACCATTGTTATCTGTGACACTCAAGGTCCCAGCCTTTCTACCCTGCCTGCTACTTGGCCAGCTAAACTGCCAGTGATTTGTTAAAGGGTCCCTAATATCTTTCCTTCTTATTCTGTCTACTTTTTAATGTTCTGGGGGTCAGTGGGAGGCTGATCTTTGATCCAAGAATGACCTTCAGTGTCAGGCAACCCCAGGGGAGCTGGGCCTGCTTTCCATCTCACCGTGATTTCGGGGCCTAGGGAGTCTTCTTGGGAGCTTTGTTATTTGACCCTGGGCCTCCCAGTTCTGGGACCTGGGGCAAGTCACTTAACCTTTATGTGCTATGGTGTCTACCTGAGTAAAATACAAGTACCAGTGGGCAGTACACAGCTCATTGGGATAAGACAACGTTGGGCTTAGATGAGTACGTATTATGTCAGAATAGGACTTAGTTTTAAGTGAGTGTGTTCTGTTTGTTTGATGTTTTTATTGTTGTTTTGTAAAGATTGGAAATAATATTTTTGAGTGATGATGATAATTAAAAATTAAATGAGTAATAGCAAGTATCTGCCTAGCTTTGGTCCACAATAAATGCTCCTCTCTCTCTTTTTCCCCTGCTTCCAATCCATCTCTCCCTTATTCTGCCTCTGTACACAGTAGTCAGGTGTGTCTATTTCTGGTAAAGAGCGGGAAGGGAAGACACATGGCCTCCTCTAATGATCTGCATAGTCTGTAATTTCTGTCACCATTTATTGACTCTCTTATTTTCATTTGAAACCCCACATCCTTTTCAATTTACTGTAATTAAATGAATGTGCATTGAATTGTGCTGATAATTAGTCTGATGGCTGTAGACTTCAAAGGCTTCAGCCTGCTCCTTCTCCTCCTGGCCGAAGGAAATTTCAAAAGTAGTGTTTCCCTCAAAGGCATGTTACTTAGACAGCCAGTCAATTAAAAGCCCGTTTAGCTGATGTTCATCAGTTCGCACAATAAAATACATCATTCCCATAAGGCCGTATTTCTCACCTGGCGTCTTAGCACTGCACTTGTTGCGGGACCTTAGTAAAGCCATGCTAATTGTGTGTGATACCAAAGCATTAAGAGCTAATTGGACTCGCAATAAGGGTATAAAATGTTAAAGCGGGGTCTTTTTTATGTAGAAGATACTTACTTTGAACAGTTAGAATATATGATCCAAGGAAGCAATTTGACTCGTCTTTGAAATGGGTATTTTTAAGAGCCATCTCTCTATTCATTTGGGAAGAGAAAGCCTAAAAGTTGACTGACGGTAGTTTAAGATAAAAAATAGGCATGTCCTTTAAATCAGGTAAGCCAATGTCATGACACTGTTTACATCTGTCTCTCAGTAGAGAATTTGAGTGACTTTGAACTCCGAATCACCATTTCAGGTCAAATAGGTTCTCTGGAAGCATAGGCAGAGAAATCCTCTCCTTTTCTGAACAGCCAAAGATAGGTAAGAGAGAAGAAATAGAGGGACCTGTAAGCTATCCCAGCACCATACATTTTAAAAGAGTTTGGGAGAAACCACAAGTGGCTTTGCAGTAGCCTGTGGTGTCCCCAGCTTGTAATGCTGTGAGTGGTACAGATGCCCTTTGCACAGAGGGAAAGGTATTTGGATTTTCTGAAGATGGTTCCCAGGCGCAACCAGGGTCTGCTCATTCGACTGATTCCAGCCCTCTGACTCCACCCACCAGCCTCCTTTGGAAAGGAAATTGTGAGAATTAAGGTGGGATTCCCTTGCTGGATGAGACAAATGCTATTTTCAGTGTTACTTTAATTGTATGAGATTCTGTAACACATACTAAATTATAGCGTGGATGCAAATTCCATTAGGGGCTCTCTTCTGCAGCGTAGTGGTCAGTTCTGGCGCGCTCTACCATTGCAAATGCTATTTGGTGTTTTATGTCAGTGCTCTAGTGTGTCCCAAGCAGCTAGTGGAGTGTGTTGGGATGCTCCCTGAATCAAGCTCAGAGTTAGGGTGCTGCTTTGCCAACTAGAGTCACAGAGTTCTAATACATGAAATAATGGAATTTTTCTTGGGTAGGTCTACGTTTATAATTTCAATTGGAACTTTCCAGACTCTGACTCAAAGCTATTACTCTCATTTAAGGATAAATGTCCTCACCTCATGGGTGGGTATAAGTCACTCTTGAACACAGAAGTAATAGTTTAAGTAAAAATTTAAAATATGCCAGCTGTGGTGGCATACACCTTTAATTCAAGTACTTGGGAGGCAGAGGCAGGCAGATCTCTAACACACACACACACACACGCACACACACAGGAATTATAAAGGCATATTATAATTGCTATTACTTAATTACGTGCATGCATTTATATATTCCCATCCTACAGGTAGGAAATAGATAGAAAATGACTATTCATAAAGGACTTGCCATTTCTATTAAACTCATCTTATGTTCTGGACGGTTTTGTTACAATTATATACGAGATAATCTCCCTGTCTACAAATGTGGAACCTTCTTATAGTGGCAGAGTTAAAATCAAAGTGAAGCATACTAAGCACATATCAAAACTGATGATGTATGCTATTTTGATTTTTGAGTGTGTGTTTGATATCCTTGAGAAACCCCAGTGGTAGCAGGGAAGAAATTGTTTTAATTAATGAATTCAGCAGCAGTGAATGCTGAATCAGGTTTATGGGTATAATTATCACTGAAATAGAAAGAATAAATGTGAGCGTCATAGAACCTCGGTTTATTTGCCATTTTGAGTGTAGTCGAGTGTTTGAAGAGGAGCTAACTACTTTTTCTTGTGTGCTATTTAAAGAATAATCTTCTCAAGGCGAGGCATAGTAATTCTGTTTATTAATATCACAGACATGCGGTATTTTATGTGAAAATCTTGGAGGTTATTTGGTGAAGAGTTTGAACGGTTGAGTTTTACTCTACTGTGATTTCCTTAAGTGCGTTGGTTGACTTGAGATGGTTTTTCTGTAATGAGCAGTCTGTACATAAAATAAATGCAATAAGCATTTGAATGCATATTGAAATAGATGCAAATGCATATCCACTCAAGAAAGGAGCAATTAAGAGTGTCTGATGACTATTACCTTGACTTTAAATATTATTATTTTGAGTCACACGGAAACTGCAAATTGAATTAAGTCTAGATGTGACTTATTGATTCTATTTCTTATTTAGCAACTACATCTTCATTCAATGAATAATAAATGCTGACTGTTGTACCAAGCATTGGGAAAGCAAAAGTGAGTGAGATGTAGTTCCTGACCTCCAGAAGCTCCCAGCCTAGTTAGACAAATAGGCATGTAGACATGTAATTGGATTTTAATACAGTGAGTGTTCAGACAATAGAATATGCAAAGCAAATGTCAGCCCACAATAGATGGTTGCCAGCAAGAGAGACTAGGACAGGAGAGGAGAGACCATCTCAAAAAGAATGGGAAGAGCTGATATCAGAACATTAGCTTAGAAGTCGAAGGCAGACAAAACAGTGTAGGAAAACCTGTGTGTTGGCTAGTGTTATGTCAACTTGTCACCAGCTAGAGTCATTTTGGAAGAGGGAACCCCAAGTGAGAAAGTACCCCCACCTGATTGGCCTCTAGGCAAGCCTGTGTTACATTTGTTGGACTGCCAATTGATAGGAGAGGACCCAGCCATGGTGGGTTGTACCACTCCTCAACTGGTGGTCCTGGGTGTTGTAAGAAAATGGGCTGAATAAGTCATGAGAAGCAAGCCAGAAGTCAACACTCCTCCACCTTCAGGCCCCTGCCCTGTTTGAGTTCCTGCTCTAACTTTTCTCTGTGATAGATAGATCATGATTCGGAAGTGTAAGCTGAAATCAACTCCCTGACTTTGCTTTTAGTCGTGGTGTTTTATTACAGCAATAGAAACCACGAGTAAGACAACATGTGAGACCTCTAGGAACTGTTTCCAAAGTTCTAGGTTGTTTGGTGCCCACCGTGGTTTGAATGCCTCCCACAACCTCAAGGGTTGAACATGTGGTCCCCAGTTAGTGGCACTATTTGGGTAGGCTTATGAGATCCGTTCTTGCTGGAGGAGGTATGTCACTAGGGGGCAGGCTTTGAGGGTTCAAAGCCATGCGTCTTTGCTAGTTTGCTCTCTCTCCTTCCTGTTAGTTATTCAAGATGTAAGCTGTAAGCTCTCACCTTCAGCTTCATCTATCATGCCTCTGCTCTGTCATAAGGCACATGTATCCCTCTGGAACTGTAAGAAGAACTCGTTCTATAAGTTGACTTAGAGCCAGGCAGTGGTGGCGTACGCCTTTAATCCCAGCACTTGGGAGGCAGAGGCAGGTGGATTTCTGAGTTTGAGGCCAGCCTGGTCTACAGAGTGAGTTCCAGGACAGCCAGGGCTACACAGAGAAACTCTGTCTCAAAAAAAACAAACAAAAAAAAAAAGTTGACTCAGATGTAGTATTTATGAAGTAACACACAGTTCCTGTCACCTCTGAGAGCTGAGATGGTATCTGTCACCCCAGCACATAGGAAGAGCTGCTTTGTGGAGTATGTATATTGTTCTCCAGGTGATCAAGCAACTGCGAGGGGTTTTGATTAGAAGGATGGTGTTCACATTGGCACATTATATACAGGACTTTGAAGACAGCATAGGCTGTCTCTTTCCCATGAGAGGTATGGGGTCTTGTTCAGCATGAAGTCTCCCACCCAGTGTCTAAATCTGAAAAAGAAGGCAATCTTCCTTGTAGACTTAGAGGCTTCTCTGTTTCAGATGAGGTTGGTCCCCCTGATGGTTTATGATCCGGAAGAAGCCTCCCCAAGGTTGCAGTGCTGAGGGGCGTAGAATCTTTAAGAGATGAGCCTGTGTGCCTGGACCACTGGAGCATCCTTATAACAAAAAGGGTACCTGCTGCAGTGTTAGTTCTAGCTCTCCATCCGGGTTGCTATAGGGTGAGGCTGTGCCCCTCAGTTTCCTCCTCTACACCAAGCTGATTTCCTCAGTGAGCCTCTGCCATGCTGGTCACAGAGGACCCTGGTCCCATGCTTTGTGAATGCTGCTGCCCAGTGTTGGACTTCAGACCCACAAAACTGTACTCCACACAACCCCAAAACCTCTTGTTTATAGACTTCCCAGCAGCAGATGTTTTGACACAAAGCAAAAGACTAATACAGAAGCCAAACATGGAAATCAATCAGCTGATTACATAGTATTGAAGTTATCAAAGAAAGAAAACATAAAAGTTAGGATCAAAAACCAGGCAGGAAAGGAGATTCAGTCAATCAAAACAATCAAGATTTCATGATCCAGGAAAAGAGGACTCTTTCAAAAGGTACCCTTGATGTCAACTATGTTGCTGCATAGCTATAAACCAGCATGTGTGAAGATGATGCAGGAGGATTATGAGTTTGAGGACACCCTAAGCTATATAAAGAGAATCTCTTAACAAACAAATGTTGTTTTATTTGTTTGTATGTATGTATGTATGTATGTATGTCTCATAAAAAGATGATATTCTCTAGTTTTGATGCTGGGTAAATGATGTTTTAATCCCATTTGGAAGTTATAGTATACTACTTGTAATGAAGTTAGTCATATCAGGGTCAGGTTGAATTTAAGGTCTTCATGGAATAGTGACATTTAGCAATCTATTGAGCAATTATATATTCCTATATAATATGCATATTTATGTACATGTAAATAGATGTAAATCTATAATTCAGATCTAATTTAACATTTGCATAAAGTCAGAGAAAGTAACAAACTGAATGCTTACAAAACAACTTGTATAAATATATTTTAATTTTAAGCAAATGTTCCCGAGATCAAGCCATATTAAATACATGCACACACATGCACACATACACACACACACTGAGAATCAAAAAGCCTAGTTAAAATGGTGCGTCCAAGACAATAATGAAAATAGACCATTAAGAAAACAGATTGTTGGTTTCTATTTGAGCGCTGCCGATTTGGGATGTGGTGATGGTTTTGTGAAATAATAATTAAAACTAACCTGCTCAAAATCCAAGCGTTCAGGACAGAGATGTCTAGTGTTTGGGACTGCTTACACACAATGCTACAGTTAAAAAAGAGATCTTACAGTTTTGACATCGAGCAGATGGAGCTTCCTAAGGGATTTGAACGTGCTTCAAATACTAGTTGCTTCAGACTGATGCATTTCCCTATAGTGGACTGTGTCCTGGTTCCTCTGTTGGGACTACCACCATGGAGAACTCAGGGCACAGACTGTGCTTATGGGTCAGCTGAGCGGTCCAAAGGAGCCTATTTGAAGTGTAAGGTTTCTGATAATCCCTAGAATTTTTTAAAGCATTAACCACTATTTATAATATCTTAATAACCCAAGTTAATGATTGTATGTGACAGACATGATAAAAGTGGAGCCATAAATGGATTTGAGAATAAAACATTATGACTTTTAAAACTCATCCCATTAATCTAGTTTGCTTGCTTAGCTCGACCTGGACATTAGCCGGGTCAGAGACACAAGATGATTTTAATTAGTCTCTGTTGTTGTATTTATACAGTTTTTTTATACGCATGTGTGCTTTTTTTCTGTTTTCTTTTTTGAGATTATCATAGAAATCTCTCCTTTTCCTTTCCTCCCTCCAAACCTTCCCATATGCCCCTATCCACTTGCTTTCGAATGCAAAGGCTCTGTTTTCATTGTTATTGCACGCATTTACACACTCGTACACACACATTCCTGAAAATATCCTCTCGTTATTTCCATCTATGTTCTGAGGGCTGACCACTTGGCACTGGACAGTAAGATGCTGTGCTTTCCCTGGGACAGGCGGACCACTTCCCCGCCCCCAGCTTTCTTCCGATGCCTGTAGTTCTTTCTGTAGGTTGCTGCCCCATGCTGCTGTCCCCGCCCACTGCAGCATGTCCTTGTCAGCACTGCCATCCTTGCTCAGCTCATGTTTAGTGGTCATGTTGGTGAGACTGTATGGCTGTAACTTCTGATGTCACTATAAGACACAATACCATAGCAGAGTCCCCGACCCTTGCAATCTTTCTGCCCCCTCTTCTACAATGTTCCCTGAGCCTGGGGTACAGGTGCGTTCTGTAGATTTTTCCACGGAGACAGGCCTCTAAAACTCATCATATTGATTGCTTGTGGTTCTCTCTAATGGCGTCTGTCCGATACAGAGAGTAGTTCCCTTGAAGAAGGGTGACGATTACACTTACCTGTGAGTATAACGACAATGGTTATAACTGTTGGTAAGGATTATACTGGCTTAGTAAATTAGAGGTCAATGGTCCTCTTTCAGTAGGTATTTTTAAATAAAAATTGTGAGCTGGGCAGATAGCTCAGGAAAAAGCATGCACTGCTCTTCCAGAAGACCCAAGTTCGGTTCCAAGCATTCATGCCAAGTTGCTCACTACCACCTGTAACTCCAGCTCCAAGGAGTGATAACCTCAACTAGCCTTCATGGGCACCTATATACACAGACAGACAGACAGACAGACAGACAGACAGAGACACACACACACATACACACACACACACACACTCCAAAAAGAAATAAAATACATCTGTAAAAAAACAAAAAGAAAATTTCAGTCTTTCTTTTGAACTACAGTCCTTCATGGTATTAGGGGCATGTCTCCAATAAACTGCTTCTATGATATGATTTAAGGTAATTTATTGATGACTGTCCCCACTACATTTGGCCTTCTAAATGTTCCCCACAGTAAATTATGTTCCCCACTGTAAATTATATTTTGGAAGGCAGTGTGGAGATGTCCAAATGATAAAAATGTTTCACTCAGGAGAAGTAAGTTCTAAAGGTCTGCTATAGAATTTGGGCACTGTAGTTAGTAACAATATATTCTAGTCTTGAAAACTGACATTTGAGATATTGCATATGTGATTAGCTTGATTTACTCATTCTATAATGTGTATATTTAAAAATATCATGTGTTCCATACACTTATGTAATTTATATATTACATATTCTACATTACATATTATATTATTTGTTAGTTTATATATATAAAGAAATTAATTAATTAGTTAGAAAAAAAATTGTTTTGTAATTACCAGATTAGTCTTAAATCTTTGCTCTTAATCCTGTTATTATCACAGAATAAATTCTTGGAGCCAAAGATATTAAAATTTAGGGCTTTTCATTCACTCTGTCAAGATGACCTGGAAAACAGTTTTTCTCAACTTATACTCCTGTCAACAGTACGGGAAATAGGATTTTCCCATAAGACATTGACAAGTGTTCCTCACTTTAGGTTCTTGGCCATTTGGTAGATGAACCATGTCTTACTATTTGTTGGTTATTTTATAAGATGCACTATCTTTTCAGATATGTGTTTAGTTTTATATTTTTTGTGGTCATGCCTTTGTTATTTTGTTGGAGTATATGAAGCAATGCATCTTCAAAACCTACCAAAACTGGATGGGAAAGTAGAATTCAAGAGCACCAGGATATAGTGCCTGCATTTCTCCACTGTACACATGATCCTCCTGACTCAGGTTCAAGTACTAAAGGCCTTTCATCTGCGATTCACCGTGAGATTTCTCCTCGCAGAAATGCCATAATGCGGGTCTAACCATAATGAAGAATAGTGACTCCAGCTCCAAGGAGAAAGGAAGTTAGCGTAGGACAACTGTGTGGGATCCCGGTCTGCACTACTCTGCCTTGTGTCAACAACTGCACAGTAATCACTAGAGGCTCACGTTACCAAGAAAATTTGTGTTTAATCCAACTCGGAGCAGGCGACTCATTACTGCAGCATTTCTGTAGCTTTATTAAATATATGAAAAGCTTAAAACAGGCAAGAGGAACCCTGTGAGGATCTCTACACTAATGCCTAGCTGTAGGCAAAGATCCACAGAGTTGCTGTGTAATCGTACACACATACTCACAAGTTGATAGAGACGGGGTGTGTGTAGGTGATTTTTCCACACTAGATTGGAAGTAGTTTTTTGTGTAAGACGACCTTATTAGCCTTTGTCTCCGTAAATATTTGCAGACAGTCTTTCAAATATTTTCCTGTTTCTTATTATTCAGATATTTTTTGATAAAAAGAATTTGTAAGAAATTTTTTAAATAGACCTATTTTAATGATATTTACTTTTGCTTAGAGAAATAACATTTTTAAATCTGCTGAACCTTTTAAAACATTTAATATGTTTCAATTTTTAATGTATTGTGTGGTCTAGTCATTTATTCTCTATTCTGCCAGCTTTCATCAATATCATTCAATTTAATTAGGGAAAAATTTATGATATCTAAGTGAAATGTCAATTCGAGATTTTGCTGTTAACTTGGTAAAAACATGGAATAGGATAACTAAGATTTGTAAATAGTTTTTTAGACACCAAACTCTGGTTGGGTTGTTTCCTACAGGGTTACAGTGCCAAGTAAAAAGAAATAATTTTGGACCATACAAAGTTGTTCACTTTAAAATAGTGTAATTTATTACTTTTGAAATATATAGTAGTAAAAAAACAGATTTAAATAGATTTATGGACAATATCATACCATGTCAAAAGTGGTTGTTGAGGTCTATTTTTTTTTGTAATAAGCAAAGCTTTAATCATTTAAAAACAACATATTAAACATAGTTTTGAATATTCTTATGAGATATTTTTAAGGAACAAAAATATATTTTATTTTTAAATTTCAGCCTTCTGGGCTTAGAGATGCTATCCTGGACTGTACAAAGAAGAGACAATTAGAAAAGACCACAGCCAGATAAAATACGATTGCCGAAGTACACATGGCCATGAGAGAGCAAAGAAGATGCAGAAAAGGAAAGTTTTCCAAATGTTTAAGTCTGATCAGGATGTTAGAAGGTAGTCAAACAGTAGTATATGCTCATTTAAACAAAACAACACTCAAACACGTGCCTGGAAAGGACAGGGGATGTTACTTTGCCTGTGTAAGGAAACTTCCAGATCTGGAATTGACTTTGGGGGAAGCAACAAGACATCAAAGTTGATTGTTAAACTGGGTGTGGTAGTGAATGCCTTTAATTTCTGTACTGGAGAAAGTGAGACAGGCAGATGTTTGTGAATTGGAGGCCAGCATGACCTACAATTGAGTTTTAGGCTAACCAGGGCTAGTGAGAGACCCTGTCTCAAACAAACAAACAAACAAACAAACAAAGCCAACAAACACAAGAATGTTGATGTTTAAAAAATGACTAAGTGGAATTTGCTTCCAAAGGACCATTGATGCCATGCCGAAAGGCCCAACCCGAAACTGTCCCAGTGTGTAGTCTGGAGCAATCTGTGTCCTTGCTCAGAGTTGGCATACGCTGAATGCTAACTGGAACTTGAAATCGTGAAGCCAGAAGGTGATAGAAGTGATGAAGAAGAAGGAGTATGGGCAAGACTCTACAAGTGGGGGGACAGGAAGAAGGTAAGGGTTACTAGCCTAGCTTTGAGCATAAATCATAGAAAAACGAAGCAATGGGAAAAAGATGAAGAATAGTAAAATACTACATAAAGTATTGTCACCTGAGTAATGGCATGAAGTCACAGTAGGTAAAAATTCACATCCAAGTCTATCTAACGGTAGACTGATATGAGACCTTTACAAGGCAGCTCGAATAAGCCAGGAAGTCGTGGCACATGCCTTTGAGCCCAGCAGTTGAGAGTCAGACGCAGGCAGATCTCTAGGAGTTCAAGGCCAGACTAATATACAGGGCTAGTTTCAGGACAGCCAGGCCTATACACACACACATACACACACACACACACACACACACACACACATACACATACATACACACACATACACACATATACACACACACATACACACATATACATACACACATATACATACACACATACACATATAAACACATACACACACATACACACATATACACATACACACATATACACACACACATACACACATATACATACACACATACACATATAAACACATACACACACACATCTTGAAAAATCAAAGGGGTAAACGGACAACAAAAATAAGTGTGAGTATAAAGAAAGTATCACCATTTAATTGTAGAAGTGAATGAACCGTGAACAATGGCAGAGCTAGTCTAGATTGAAAATAAAGACATTTCTTCATGTTTCTAGAATCATCCCTCAGAACTGGGCACTCGGTGATTGCTCAACATCCAATAAGAACTCTCTGCAGTCCTTCAGTTCATGTCCGCAGAAGCCAACATCTTGCTGTGCATGCATATTAGTCTCCCTTTAGAATAAGAACCTGGAGAATGCAGAACGGAATCTGAGAGTATTTGGTTCCCAAGCATTTTACATACTTCCCCCACCCATCTCAAAACCACTGTAACCAGATTATCCTGTGTGATTATTGAGTAAATCATTTCCCCTTTCTACTTGAGACTCTCAACTCAAGATTTAAGATTTAAGTCAGACCTTTCTGAAGTGATGGCCACCATACGAGACTGTGCCTCTCGCAAAGGATCTCCATCCTCTCCAGAAGAGAAGAAGAAACAAGAAAAAGCGCCTGGTGCAGAGCCCCAATTCCTACTTCATGGATGTAAAATGCCCAGGATGCTATAAGATCACCATGGTCTCTAGCCATGCGCAAACAGTAGTCTTGTGTGTCGGCTGCTCCACTGTCCTGTGTCAGCCTACAGGAGGAAAAATAAGGCTGCCAGAAGGATGCTCCTTCAGGAGGAAGAAGCACTGAAAGCCCCTAATTCAAGATGAGTTGGAACCATCCCTATAAACACATTTCAGAGTGTGTGTGTGTGTGTGTGTGTGTGTGTGTGTGTGTGTGTGTGTCAGACAGTTGAGTTATGCAAGCCACCTGGGGTGTCCTCACACTGGCCAATGCTTCTTGGTCTCATAAAGACAGAGGACTGTGTCTGTACTGGCTCAAGTTAGCAGTGGCATTGGAAGGTCTACAGGTAACTTAGACTGTCATCATTTGTAGATTTACATTCATTTCCTGTTTATTTTAAAACAGTAAGAAAGGCATACAGAGAGTCAGAGCAGACCGCCTTCCGTGGCATGCCACGCTCCATGATGTGTTGTCCAGACTAATCTCTTGCTAAGGGATAAGTGTGGACAGGAGATCTGTGTGCAGGGGAGTGGGATGATGTTTGATTCTTCAGTATTTCAAGTAATTTGTGTGGAATCTGTAGTTCTTTGATGAATTGACAGCTCTCAGGCAAGATATATTTTCCTGAAAAAAAAACAAAAAACAAAAAACAAAAACATAAGAAAGGATTTGGAGCTTCAGTTGAGCTTTCTATGAGATATGTCTTTTTAAAAAAATTTTATTATTTTAGAATTTTATACATGTATACTGTATTTATATTATTTTCACCCTGCCCTCTCCTGCTCCAAAATCCTCTGATGTTCCACCTCCAACGCCCTCTCAAATTCATGATATTTTTCTATAGTTAGTACCTTCATATATATGTATATGTATATGTATATGTATATGTATGTGTATATGATGTATATGTACATACACACACACACATGCACATAGTACATACAGAGAGTTTATTTAATGTTCCTCATATGTACTTGTATTTAGGGGTGACCACTATGCAGGTCTTATTTAGGCAACCTTATTGTTGAGATCTCACAAGTACAGCATCTGTGCTATCTGTAGAAGACACTATTGAGCCACAGACATTCTGGCCCCTGGCTCTTACAGTCTTTCCACCCCTTCTTCCTTGATGTCCTCTCCGCCTTAGGCCAAGCATAGTGTTGTATATGTCTCAGCTCACGCTGGGCATGGGATTGTCACATATCCTCTGGATTCTGACCAGTTTTAACAGCCTTCATTTGCTGGGTGGGAAAAGCTGTGTTGATGGATGAGAGCTACACCTACTTGAAATCATCATGGTTTCATTTTTCTTGCCTGCTAGATTGAATACTTATGCATTCTGTTTCATTATCCATTCATCAGTTGAACAACATGAAGGCTGTGTTTATTTCTTAGCTAGTGTAAATAAGGTGGCAATGACCATGACCAAGCAAGTCTTCCTGAAGTTGAATCCTGGGTCCTCTGGCCATGTGTCTAGTTGGGTCTTTTGAGAGATCTGCTTTTAGTTGCTTTTAAGTTGCCTTGCAGGTATCTTGTCATAGTCACAGAAAAGTAGCTAACACACCTACACACACCCCAGCTCCTCTGCAGTGGAGTGCCTGCTAATCTGTACAGTAAGAGTGTGTAGTTCTCCTCAGAGAAGTGACAGACATTTTGGCGAGACAGAAAGAGGTTTGTGTGTGCTGTGTCACCATGAGTGTCTTTGTGACTGAATTTACGTTACACTCCTTAGTTTAAACCATTGCCCTACCATATTAAGAAAAGTGTTTTAGAAACACAGTGGCTGAAGTTGACTAGAAGCTTCTTATTCTAGCTTTATAATTAATGCACTGCGTTACCTACAGTCTGTGACTCTGGCTTCCCTCGGATCCTTACTTTCTTGTAGAACCGTTTTAAAATGTGTTCCTTTGGGGTAAGGTGACTAATCTAACCTTACCAAGCTTTCTCTTGAGGATATACCTCAAGAAGAAGTCAAAATGGGTCCAGTTAAGTCAAGATGTGACGATTACAAAAGAAAGGTCTCATACACTAACCAAGATGGTAAGAAAGCCAGGTTGATTTTGGCATCAGTGAAGCGTCCTTTGAGTTTCTTTTGTTTCTGTGTCTCCAAATACGTGTTGCATTGTACAAAATGGCCCTATGGCCTTTGCACAAATATGGTGTCACTAATATTTACCAAATTCTATCTTTCATTTGTTCTAACTTTCCAGCTACATCCCTGAGTCATTTCAGAGTTGTATGTTTCAACATATGTATGTATCATTCAGGCAAATAGTAAAATGTTTATGCTATTTTATACATTTAGAAAATGTGCCTAGTAGTCTATGCAGAATGAAGTTCATAGCTGAACACTTCCAAGCAAGCATTCCAGCTAATAGATGGTTTGAAAGTCTTTGACTTTACCCAAATACTTCAGCCATTTTTTTTCCGTTTTTAAGACAGGGTCTCATGGAGTGTGGGCTGTCCTTGATCTCTCTATGTGGCTGAGGGTGACCTTAAATCTCTGATCCTCCTATCTCCATCTCCTGAGTATTCAATTACAGGCATCCGCTACCACACCCAGTTCATGCTGTGAATGGGAATTGAACCCAGGGCTTCTGGCATGAGGCAAGCACTCCTAAGCCTTATCCCCAGCTTAGTCAACCTTTAAAAAAAACCATAATCTAGCCCATTTAAGGACAAAAAAAGAAGTCAATAACATTTTTTTTCTTCTGCTTCCACAAACTTTTCAAAGAAAGATTAACTGCAGAACATATTGTTTTATTTAACTGTGGACATACTTGATTTCCATACGTGATTCATTTCTTCTCCAAATTTCCTCACATATTATTACGAGTGACTTTCTTGAGATACTACAGGCTCTCAAAACACAATCTGGCTCAGTTTATTATTTTACTGGAAGAATATTCATGCAATCATCAGTTTCTTTCTAGCAGAATGATGTCTGAAAATCAGTTCTGCTTTTTGGTTTCCCATGGGACCTGCGGAGCTATTGACGCTCATAATCCAAGGCCTGGTGTTACTTATCTCCCCGGATTGTGAGATGTTAGTCATCTTCCTCATATGGAAGCCTGACAACACACCACAGACACAGATAGCATGGCTTCTCAGAACTAGCCTGTTTCTGGGCTTCCTTAGAAAATCTCCTCTGCTTTTTACACAAATGTATTGGTTTGAAGTGGAGAAATCTGATCCTTGGGCTTCATATCGTGATCTTTCTGGCCCAAGAGAAGTGAGTCTGTGATTCTTGTTTTCCCTAAACACTGCCAGCCTGGATTCATTCCTTCATCAATGGTTCCAGCCTCTGAGCCTTTTTCATTCAACTTTCCCCTCAATTCGTTTTGGCTCCTTAATCTCAGAAGCTGTCAAAACTCTTCCTCTCCTTGAGCCATCCAGATGTCGCGTAGAGCGATGGCACTTTCTGGTGGGCCTAGTGACCTGAGTTTATGGTCATGTGTTGTATTGTGATGTCCACAGATATGTGCATATACACACATGCACACACACAATAATACACACTGTAAACAAGCAACCAACCAAATAAATTGATATAAAAAATTCCCCTCAAGTTCCCTCACACACAGTCACGCGCAAGCGTTCACTCTGAATATTTGTACCACACTTCCCTCTCATCTCTTTAAAAACAGGAGATTTAATAACATTCCTACTAACATTTTAATGGGGTGATCATTAGCATATATGTATGCCCATAATAGTGTGTTTCATTATATAATTTTTATACATGCATATAATGCATTTTCATCGTATTTGTTCTCGTTATACTTTTTTGGTCCCATCTTACCAAATAGTCCCTTCTGCTTTGATGTATTTTTTTTTGGTCAATAAAAAAGTAAGATTAGTTGAGGTTATTCACAGGAGCATGGATAAGGGGTTATTTATAGGTGCACAGGCAATATACCAATGGTTATACCACTGAAGGAAACATCTTTCCCTCTTCCAGCAAATCATCCTCGACCTAGAAATCCTCAGGGACGGGCAGAGCTTCATGAGCACCATGACAGGATGGTGAATGGCTCAGTTCTGTGAAGTCTTGGGCAGTTAATCATAACCAAAGTACTCTTAAATCTATGGTATATCTTAACAATATGTTAAAAGAAACAAGCAGAGTCTGCATCCTTAAAACTTCTTTCCATGATCAAGTTCATGTTGATGGCCCTTTCATCTCAAAGTTGATCTAAAGTGTTAACGTGGCCTTTCCGTAAAGATCAAAATTTTCTTCTATACCCCAGCAGTGATGGTGCATACCTTTAATTCCAGCCCCTGGGAGGCAGAGGCAGGCAGATCTATGTGAGTTTGAGGCTGGCCTGGTGTACAGAGTAAGTTCCAGAACAGCCAAAGCTATACAGAGAAACCTGCCTCAAAAAACCCAAAGAACTACTAGCATTGGTTTCCATTTTTAAAAAATTTTTGTCCATGTATTCTTTGTAATTTCAACTTCTATTTTTTTTAACAATTCTCCACAAAATTATTATCAATGACTGGATAAGAACTTTCTCAACTTTCTTCCTGTAGTTTCCCATTTCCCCAACTTATGAATCCGCCTTTGAATGTTTACTTTCTTATTTATTTTATAGTCATCTGATCCTCTTCCACTGGTACTGTCATCCTAAGTTTCTTTGAAACTGGATTATCGAAGTGCGTGTTTCTTTTAACTCACAATTTTTAAGCAATGAGTTCAGATCTTAAAGGCAGAATCAGATAGCTTCCAGATCAGATTTCTCACACCCTGAAAGCCAATTCAAGTTTAAAGAGAGATGGGTTTAAAGGAAGGCCCAATGCAGGGATTGTTGGAAAGCCAGCCTTCAAACACGATACTTTTGTTTATATCTGTTTAAAAAATCATACTCGAGGCTCTATTACTTTAGTTTGTTGCTTAAGGTGTTGCACCAGTAAAATATGCAAACTGTCATTAGCAAAAATAACCTGTTACCTTTTGCCAATACACTTTCAGAGAAGTCACTCTTCCTAGAAACAGGATAGTAGCTATCTTTTTGTAGCCTACAGGTTTTTTTCCCCCTAATGGGTATAAATCATTAGGAATAAATTGTGTTCTGTCATTGTAGGCAGTAATTGGTGACATTTTCTTGTCACTATGGGATTATAAA